GGTCAGAAACAGAAATGATTGCATACCTAAAATTGACATTAATTTTGTATGTTTTAGTTTTCCGGTATTCCCTGCATATCATCACCTCGCCAACTTCAAATTCAGATTTCTTACCCTGACGTTTCCTGATTTGCTTTGATACTTCCCTGCAAGTATTGTTCAGATAGGCTATGTTGGATTCAGTCCCTGCTATGTCAGTTGTATATTCAAAATAGTTATTGATAACATCAATCAAATCAGTTCTGCGTTCAAATATGGCATCAAAGATATTCTTGAGTTTATTCCGATCCTTTTCACCAAGCCTTTTACATTCTTCAAGGTATATATATATATATATTGAGGGAAGATTGTATCAATACATTCATTCATATATACTTCATGTTTCTTGGTGTTGGTAAGGGCTTTGATGGGTACCAACTGCTTGGCATCACCAGTGGCCAAAATAAATTTGTCCTTCCAGTTCTGATCAACGAAGTCCTTAATTTTTTTTCCAAAACATAGCTATTATTGAAACAGATCTCATCAAAAACAATGACATCAAACTCAGAATAATCATACTTACCCAGTTGTTCATCTCCAATAGCTATACTGAAGAATTTGTTTATAGTAACATTCAACATCGCATTCCAGTCCCAGAATCACAAGGAAAGGTGACCGGTGACCCAATGAAGAATAATGGCGAACTGCAGTAATGGTCTTGTTGTACTGTATGGGAGTGAATTTCAATAGGGAGACCCCCAACCAATGGGTTTTGGGTCTATTACATTCCTCCTTCCAAAGGGTCTTTGCGAGGTTCCCCTATTTTAATGCACACTCGTCTGGCAGTGGGATAGGAACAGGCCATCTTGTCAAACTCATTTGCAACTAGGCTCGTGGTTTCCAAGCTTCCCTGCGCTTGACTGGTTGTGAAGAAAATGCTGCTCAAATGGCCTATGCTGGAAGACCTTGGTGTGCAAAGCTTCTCTTGCACTTCCGCAGCGAAGGCGAAGACATGTTTTCTGCTTCGCTTGTCTGACCAAAAACAAGTTGCTCAAAATCAGGCTCAGTCAACTCAAGAACAAGCTGACAATTTTCCAAGCAGGGGCGAACTTCCTAGGATTGGGCCCTTTCTCCGTAGGGAGGCTTCTAGAGCTGCTGCAGTAGTCCCCAAAACCTAACGCCCCAAGGCCAAGTGACGGCAGGGGTAGCTGAATGATCTCCATGCCCTCCCTTTGGGCAACACCTGGAGAGCAAAGGGAATGGCTGTGCTGATGATACACTTGGCCGATTATTAAAAACAACTAAGCGCATCATTCGCTCGCACTTGCTGATGGGTCATCCAGCGGGATGTGTGTTGCATGGCTCCTCCTGCAACTCTTGCTCATGCAGATCTTTTGCACTGATTTGGTCCAAACTTTGAGGCCTGCACCTCGTCTCACTAGGAGCCCGGTCGACAGGACCCTTGGTGAGCGAATGAAAACCGCAAATCGAGAAGCTGCAACGAAGACTCACAGCAAACTTTGGATTCAGCAACAACACCCGCACAGGACACACAAGAAAGATAAGAAGCATCTGAAAGGGCTTAGGTCATGGGTAGAAGTCACCCGCAGTTTTAGGTCTTGGCCTTAACTGCTCAAATCTCGGTGGTCGTTCTTGGATGCCGTGCAGGACCAGTGCCGGGGCGAGTGGCCAAATTGGAAGCACGTTCTCCTAGCATTCAAAGAAGCAAATCTTAATTGGAAGAATTCTGCGGATTGCGTTCTGGACTTGTGACACAGGCAATGAATCTGTGCCCACCATAGAGGCTTCCCGTAGTTTGATGTTCCGTGCGAAAGCATGTATGGTGTATGTAAACCCTCTCGTCTGGCAACTCTCTTCCGGTTTGGGAAACCAGAAGTCCCAGTCTGCCAAAACGGGACTGTGACGTTTGTCTTCTCATTTGGGCCTTTTGCGGGCCCAGATTCAACTTAACACCTGTCACTCTTCCGTCCATTGCGCTCTCAGCGCCCAGCAATTCCATCCACAAAAAGCTGCCAGGTGTCCGAATCCCATGGCCTCTCAAGAACTAGCACTCGGAGCCACATCTGATGGCCAATGTGTCCCCTGAAAACGTCTGGGACGTGTTGAAGGCAAGTCTGTACGAAAACTTGCTTTGTGTCGACTGCGTCGCCGTCGCGCTGCGCCGCCGAAAACGCGCTGAGTCCACGACCAAATACTCAACGGGCTCAGGACATCATCCCTTAAGGACACGAGGAGTATCTTGCATCGCTACTAGGGCTCCACAGCTCCATCAGCTCCACGGCTCCGGTGTCTCACTTTCGTCTCCTGTTGTCTCTGAGCTCCAGGCGTTGCGTTGGTCTGAGTTAAAATTTGAGAAATGCACATTGTAGAGGTGATGATGCCTCACGATTCCAGCCAAATTTGGTTCATCTGTTCCTTCCGCCTGTATAGAAACACCACCGCACCGGAACCTAAATGAAACCAAACGGCTAAACGTGAGGCACTTAACTCACACCATAAGGACCTATCCGGGAAAGAAATTTGTCAACAACTCTGCGTTGGCGCTCCACCCAGCAGTCTGACGAGCAAACAAAACGCTCACCGGACAGGGTGAGGCCGGTTGAGGGACCAAATTTATATAACCGAGTGGCTCCTGTCCTAGTCACTAGTCCATCCTAGTGGATGTCGTTTGCGAAAGTGTCACTTGATTCAGGTCCCAGCCCAAGGACTGAGAGATCCATTGTAGATCCTCGATGTCCTCCGCGTTTACGGCAGGCAAATCCTCGGATGGCAGAATTGGTTTGAGAACCACCTGTCCAAGATACATTGGGATTTTGTGATATGTTGTGTCCATGATTGGTCTGACGTGCAGCAACGCGCCCTTTTTCGGCTACAAGGCAGGAAAGTGCTCGTGGACATTGTTTCGTAGCTGCCGTTCGGCTTGTGCATCCCAAGGAATTGATAAGAGTTCTGCATTTTTCCATTGCTCTGTATGCTCTCTTTAGTGCACTCATTTCCCCGGATGCTAGCACCTAAAGCATTCGATCTAACTTCAGTCCGGCTGGGTTGATGCGTGTCGATGTGTGGAACTGAAGCCTGCAAATGACAAAACCTATCAAAACACGTGATGCATGTTCAGAAACTCAGAGCCAGCTGTTCCCCAGAGCTATGTAAATTTGTAGAGTTGTGTGATCTATTTGTATATATATATACATTCATATGTTGGTGTACATCGTACATGTAGACCACATGCCACACGTAGTATGAATTCTGAGCAGGTCTCCGACCACATCATCCTCACACTTCCTAGCCTCCCGCTGCATGCTTTCACGAGCGAAAGGAAGCCACCTCGTACGCTTTGATGCTGCATGGTCAGAATTATCATATTCAGTCGCGTCCTATGCGGCAATTCTGTCTTTTCTTGCCATGGCCCTGGCAATACCTGTCTGACAATTGGAGCACACCCGGAAGTTTTTGCGGGACCCCGCCTAACATGCACCAGTGCATGCTGACCAATCCTCTTGCTTGGGTGATGCTCACAGGTTCCAGCTATCAGGCATCCTACAAAGGCCTTAGGTGGCTGGCTGTTTGCCAGCTAGCTGCACGATCCCTTGCTACAGTCATGTAGAGTACAGTCGCCCTGTATGGAGGAAGCTGCACAACACCGCGTGAGTAATTTATATCTTTCGCTTGATTTCAGGGCATCGTGCTGCTGTGTGCCTCTGCGGAGTCAGAGATCTATTGGCGGCTAGGTTGCAAGAACCATGCCTTTCACACACCCAGCCTATCTGACCCTTGTGCCACCCAACACTTTGCAACTTGCGAACATTTGCAGCAAACAGTTTGCACAAAAAAAAGTGTTAAGATTCATACTGTAGATGTTTCAGCACAAGGGTCCTTTGAGCCCAGATCTGTTGCAAACCTGAGGGCCGTTGGAACCCCCTGCAGAGGGCATCTCATGAGACAAATTGGCAATGCCTCCCATAGACACTTATTTTTCTACACCGTGTTATTTCTGTGCCGTAATTAGGTCGGTTGGCTCTACGAAGTCAAGTGGCATAAGGAATCTGCAAGTTGGTTCTACTCGCTGTGGCAACGGGGTGGCAACTGAGGGTGGACATCCCCGAGTTGTCGCTTGCAGGGTTTCACATGGCCACTTGTTGCGTGCATACTCTGACAAAAGAAGTGCCTGACACGTCACAAATGTCCCAGGGATCAAAACATGCGTTGCACAGTTTGTTTGCACCTCGGTCATGCATGCTGCTGTCTGCCCAGTCTAGTCATACGTACAAACAATGAGCTGGCAGTTCAGTGGGGAGAACTTACGACAACTATCTGCTGTGCAGAACACCCAGAACACTCCTTCTCGGTGCTTGCCAGGTTGCCATTTCTTAACGCAGCTGCGGACTCTGGGAAATGTAAAAGAAAACGATGTGGACTCACCACGCAAGACTGCAAGACCCTCCTATATGCGCAAGCTTGAAGTATGGGTAAAAATACATTCGACTCAACGATCACCAGTCCCATCTAGAGATGCCACAAACATGAGACCAAGCCCGTCTCGGGCATCGCTCAGAAACTCAGGCATCGCCCAAAAAGACCAGATTTTGAAGTCTCAAGTAATTATGCAACACTCCAATGACATTGTGTTTGGCATTCTGTAGTTATTTGTTTGGCATTGCTATTGTTGGATACGTCCGAAGAGGACAGCAGGCCTTTTTTATTGCGACGAATTGGTGTGAGACGTCGTCCAAGGCTGGCCGAAGTTGTCCCTGCCAGGCACTTCCAAAGGCACTTCCAGTGTGATGAATGGGAACTCCCTGCTTTGAAAGGGGTAGGCATGGCGGCCTAGCCATGTGGGAGGGAGTATGTGTGTAGTGCGGTGGAGTAGAGTGTGTGCGCATGCGTAATCTGTCGGTGTATGTGGTGAGGTTAGAATTGCAACTTGTGTAAATAGCTGCATGCTAGATGCAAGGACAAAGAAGGGCTAGGCCCCTTCCGCTTTTCCAACCCAACCCGCCTTATTTCTTCTTCACTGGCTTCAGCACCTTGAAGCTGCACATCAATGTGTCATCAATAGACATCATGGCGCCCGCGTTGTCAAACTCCCCACCTTATGATGGACAAGTTGGGGAGCCACAAATCAGAGCCTGATGACCAACAACTAGTTATACAGTCAAGCTATGGGCTTTGGAACCCGCTGGCTGAACGCGGCGTACAATGTTAAAAAATGTTCGAAGACCCAACCGATTGAGCGAGACAACCCCCTGTGGCATAGGAACAGGCATATACAGTATCTCTTTCCAGAGGTTACTGCATGATACTTTCCGCAGCCTCCATTGGCAGCATGCTGATGAAAACCAAAACACAAACCCACAAAAACAACCCTATTGAAACCGACCAATAATGTGTGTCTGAGCTTCAGGCCGCGTGCTCGTAGCACAAATCAACTTTAAAACGATCCGCGTTGATTTGTTGCTTTGCAACTGTGAAAGGCACTTTGGGAAAACATTATTGCGCCTCTCTCTCTCTCTCCCCCTCTTCTGGGACAATTTAATTCTTGCAAATAGTCGAAAAATCAAAGAATGGCCAATGGTTGGGCCACACCGGCACCGGCACCCTGCAACATTGAGGAGGAGGAGGAGAAGGAGGATCAGAAACAAGGCTCTTGACCAAAACCAGCGATAGAAGTCTTTCCACTGCTATAATTTGTAGCTTGGACAGGAAAAAGCTTAAGCTTAAGCGATTGAAGAGTCTTCCAGGGGAAAGAACGCAAAACGAAAGCTCGCTTGCCTTGCAAGGCCCAGCTGCAATAGTTCGGAGCACTGAACAAAGTGATCAGCTGGCGCTTGGCAAAGAATTCGTAGCCATCCTCCACAACTTGGTGCGCCCGGCACACCAAATCCATGTCCTCAGGCGAGCACAGGGGAGTGGGATTATTCCCTTCACGTGTTGACTCTCGCTTGAAGAATATTCCCTTCATGCATCGTCTTTATTCAAGGCTCATGTTTCTGCAAGAAGGTGCTTACTACGTCGGGGCCAAAAATGAAGGACCTCAGAGCGCGTAGTTTCGGCAGAGCAGGACACTATCTAATGATAATGCTGCATGCTCATTCCAGTGCTTGTCCTCAAAGTCTAAATCTGGTAAAGGGACACTCCACGATCATTCTCGGCCCACCCAGTGATCTCCTGGGAATAGGAGAATAGGACAGCTAACAATGGCCAATAGCACGTCGCTCAAGTGGCAGTCGCTCAAACACTCATGTCCTTGTCTGGATCGGCCCACAGGAAATCACAAATCAATCCGGTATCAGGCACGTCTGTGGGGCGCACAATGCGCTTCACCTGGCGCAAGTCACCAATTGCGGAAGCAATTCGCACCCGACAGGGAAAGTCATCGAGGCATCAATTATAACCATGTGTTTTTTGTGTTTTTTGTATATATTTCTTGTTTTTGTTTAAAAACACGTCGTTTTGTCGGGAACTGTTTAACAAAAAAGGCCCGCAGCCCACGCTGCAAGGCCTGCGCTCGCGCACTCTCAACATGGGATACACTGTCACGCATTGAATCTGACAGCTTACGCTCAGCGAAGCCTGCTCGAAGGTGGTTATCTCCGGCGAAAGGCCTGCCACATAAGAAAGCACGACAACTTTTTTTAGCCTGTGAGGCCGCAACCCAACATCAAGAAAACAAAGCGCAACATCAAGCAACATTCAGATTAGGATGGAAAAGGCCCCGGTCTGACTTGGATCGCAATGATCAGCTTGATGGAACAACGCGCACCCGAACTTGCAAGTTTTGCAAGCAAAGGATCCCGCAAATCACGGCACCTCCGTGCATACAAATGATCTTCTCCTCAAGCAGAATTCTATGGCTTGTTGTTGGGTGGTATGAATGCCGTAAGGAGCTTTTCTGGCCACTGGGACAACTAAAAGAGCATCGGGTAACTGTTCTGCGACGCAAATGCGCACCCGACAACAAACCCGGCACCGAAGGATGGCAATTGTCGTTCCCTCCAGGCATGTTGCTGATAGCAAACAAGGCTCGTCAATGATAGCACACACTGGCATACAATTGAACACATCACCTCAGAATCCGAATGAACATGACAAAAGGTCTTCTTTGCAAAGAATTGGTTGGAACTATCAAAGCACACTCTGGGTGCAGGCATGGAGCAGAACTGCTTCCACAATTTGATGTTGTAGCGGCGCTTGCATTCATCATAGAAGCCGTAGATGCGAGTAATGGATGCACACTCCTCAGATTTGTCTTGGAGGGTGACTCCTCCAAAGGTCTGCCTTCCCTCCTAGATTGAACAAATCAAACGTTATGAGTCACGACACATAAATTACGGCCCCTCCATTCAGCACATGAGAATTCTCAAGTATACTTGAGAAGCGGGAACGAAAGCAAAATAATACTTTGCTTTGCTCATTCCACCACCATCCGCAAGAGAATTCCTATCAATGGAGGTGTACCTTCAGTGCTAGTGTCACCAATAAGACTTGTTAAAAATGCTTGAACCTTAATCTGGAATAACCTTTGTCGAAAAAAGTCCAACCACTCAAGGTCCGATGCTTGCAATGCATTTTGTCCGATAGGTGGGGAGGTGATCGGAGCTGGCTTTCGTGATTTATTGACAATAATAACCATTGTTGCCGGTGCTCTCTAAGGAGGTGCTCCTGGTGTTCCAATGTCTTTTTTAGCATACGTTCACCAAATCCGAATCCTAGCTCAATCCTTGCCATGGCCCGCCATGGCCCCTCAAACAATGCAGCGAACACCATTGCACACACCAATGCCAAAAAGAAATCCACGTGGACATTCCAGCGCTGACTGGCCAAATGGACAATGAACACTGATGCATGGAGCACCGCCGTAAGTTTCCCCTTCTCGTTGCAAGTGGTGTGCTGGCTATCGGCTATCGGTTGCAACCAAGACTGGCATGTCTTGCAGTGGTTGGATGTGTGCAGGGGCCTTGCCGGGCCGGGCCCCTATTGCAATTGGCGGTTGTTATTGAAAACTCCACCAGCGATTATTACCCACAGTGCTCCCCTGAAAAAACAACACATGTACCACACAAGGCCAAGTGGCATGATTGCCGCGCAACAAGAAAAAGTTCTCAGGAAACTTCACCTGGAGAATTAAAGGAACGCCGCAACAACATGTCGCTATTTGTTTGTGAGCATCGTTCTTTGAGCAACGACCGTCGTTGTTTCATGCCGTGAGGACTGGGCCTTGTAGGCGAAAAGCAGGGTGATGGTTTCCAAGCTCTGCTTGCCACGGTCCACATAGTCGCCTGCCGGGCCACTAGGCGAGCCTGCTAGAAATCAGGATGTGCGAAGTGGATGGGCCAGCGACGAAACGATGCCGAGACATCACGACATACGGATGCGCCTAGAAAGAGGTAGTTGCTCTCCGGAGGAAAACCACCATACTCCTTGGATGCCGGCCCTCATCACTGCACAGCTCGCCGAATGTCAACACTTCTGAAAGCACCAAAACAATAAACACACCCAACGCAAGCTGAAAGTACAAAGCCCCGCGTCAAAAAGCCGCAGGAGGTCGTGGTACTGACCGTGCACGTCGCCGCAGATTTTCAATGGCGCCTGATTCACTGATCGAACAGCTGGGAGCTAGTGCTCGTGGGCGTATCTACACACGCATCGAATCAATGCATACATACATACCATACCATACCATACCATACCATACCATACCATACCATACCATTACATTACATTACATTACATTACATTACATTGCATACATCCATTAACATAACATAACATAACATTACATTACATAACATTACATTACATTCATACATATATGTATGTGTAACATGTATATTTATATGTATCCATAACATGTATTAATACAGTATACGCCGATGCACCGTGCATAGTGCATGCATGTGTCAAAGAATAACTCGGCATCTTTCATGTAGCATGCATTGGTATTTAAAAGAAATATATATATATCTATACACAGGTAGAAGGTATCCCAGTTGCACATAGTTGCATCAACACACGCCTTGACCGGGGGGAAGGACGTCAATATGACACAAGTTTTAAGACCTTGGTGGCATTTTCCGAGCTACACTGTGCGGCGGCGGCGGTGTCTGACCAAATGTCCACCAGAATATATAGTTTTGAACAAGCTCGACCCAGAGGTGTATTAAATCTGGATATCAGCCCCAGAGAGAGGAAGAAAAAACAGTTCATGCCGACTGATGCCGCACTTCGCTGTGCCCGGCTGTGCCCTCTCATCGGCTCCTTGTTGCTAATAGCTTCGTGTTACTAGTAGCAATGCCAGGAGCTACTAATAGCTTCTTGCTAGTAGCAATGCACCTTGCTGCTAATGGCTTCTTGTTACTAGTAGTAAGGCCAGGAGCCCCTAGTAGCTTCTTGCTCCTAGTAGCTAATGGCTTCTTGTTTTCTCATTTTGGCCAACTTCATGTTCAAACGTTTCCGCCACGAACCACAGTGAACTCCACGGTGCGACGGACGATGCACGGACGGACGCGGAACGAAAGCGGATGAACGAACGTCCCCGAATAAGCATTCCAGTGGTGTCAGAGTAAAGATGGCACTGGCACCCCAAGATGTCCTTTTGAGGGAAATTATCTCATAAACTCACCTATAGACTATAGGCTTCCAGTAGGCAAAAGTTGGGCTCTCTAGCCCACTCCGGCTGCCGGCTTGTGCCTCGAGCTCCAACAAAGGACTCTGGTCCAGAAAGATGGTTCGAGCCTCATTTCACGCTTGATCCGCTTTGAGACCGAGGTTCTTCAGGACCCTAGTTCGACCATCCCATATAATAAATATATATATATATATGTACCCCAGTGGGGTCTTTATAAGGTCACTTATATAACCGTCGACATTCCAAGAGTTTCTTGCCCACATTCAGTTCCAATCGCGTGTCAGTTTCGCGCCCTGGATTTCCACAAATCTCAGTAGGTCCCGATGTTCTGAGTGCCAGGACCGCGGTACAAAGGCTCTTCACTTGGCCCTCTGGAATCTGCACGAGCTTTCCAGGCTTTCCTGCAGATGAATAGAGCTCCACCTCTTTGCCTCATGGTCTGCAACATATGTTGAGTTCTACCCAAGAGGGCGCAACTGGCACCCTCAAACCATACAAAAACACCCATCCGTGCATGTTGAGTGATGCACTTTCAAGTTCTGCTTGTGTACACAACCACCCGTCAATTTCTTCTTAGGACATCTTAGCACAGGCTTACATTTAAGTATTTCACATATCATATCATCAATTCGGGCAGGCTACTGTTTACCTAGGCTCCGCTCTCGCGACTCTACGCACTTGGTCTGTGAGGACACGGTTCAGTCTGAACAACCCGTTGTGTTTCCAGCGGCGAGATGTTTGGCAGTTGTTCATAATCAGCTGCCGCTGTCCTCCCTTCGCCTCCAAGCATTTCTCGATGATATCATCATTCGCCAAATCTTCCTGGGCACGTGAGCAGGAGTCGTTCATGGCAAGCGACATGTGTTCGAACCAACTGCATCCAAAAAAAACCATGAAAACGCATATACATCTGTGCTGGGCGACGGTCTTCTTCATGGCTTCTTGGCAAAAATCGAGTGTCGCCTGGTAGCGTGGGTGAGTCTAGCTCTTTTTGGAAGACATTGGACTCTACTAATCTTGGCGTTAATAGAGGCATGGGCAAGGGGTGGTTACTCTCTTGGATGCCAAAGTGTGCCCTGTTATTACAGTAATGCAACTGCAAGTTCCAGCATTGCAGTGGTCCACGAAATGTGTGTTGCAGCTTATAGTAAGTTTAAGATGAGGCCACAAGAAAAAACTGCTTGACACATCTTGAGATACGCCTAGCGTCCTCACCAGCATCAGAACAACTAAACACTGCAATGTCACTGCAACAATCAAATGGACCAAATTGGCGTACAAAAGTAGGGTGAAGAATGCTGGCCAACCAAGGAAAAAATTGCAACACGACGACATACATCAGAGTTGACCGCTTAAGCTGGCATCTCAGGCAACTCCCACAATACCAAGAGAAGAACACCATGATAAGTTTGCAAACGGTTGGTGTTGCACCACTTGCACAAACAAGCAACAGGAGCCTTGCAACGACAACTTGATCAAACCAGCAACAGGGCCGAACAAAATAACAAAGACTGCGTAGTGGATTGTGGCACGCCAAGTTTCAAACCCCTGCACCCCGCTCTCTGACACACTTTTGCTCTGCCAACAAAACAGGTACACAAAGCATATCTTTGGGCCGCCCCTGCCTGATCACCGACCCGACGTTCCGAGGCTGCTTTGGGCCACAACGTTAGATTCGGATGATGCCAGTTCAGGTTTACTAGGAGTAAGGACGCTACTAGGGGCTCCTGGCCGTACTACTAGGAGCAGCATCGCTACTAGGAGCAAGAAGCTACTAGGTAGTATATACATATATATATATACATGTCTTTTCCAACAGCTGTCACATGAGACTCTAGTAAAATCTTGAATTCCAGCGTTTTGGCGCAATTAACAGGCTGGCAATCAACTGTCTAAATAAACAGTCACAGTTTCCCTTGTGGTGTTTGGCTGCTAGATTTCCTGTCAAGGTCTTATGCGCATTCATATGCAGATTGCCTTGCACCTAGTATGAAAAGTTCAGCGAGTAACCAGAACGTTGCATGTCCCAGTCAGCTCGAGTGGTTTTGAGTGCAAGCAAATAAATATATAGATATATAATCGATACATAGATAGCTAGGTAGGTAGGTAGGTTGATAGAATCGCCAGATAAAAAAGAGAGAGATGCACAAGTGGGGATGGGGGTAGCAGGCTTTGATGCACACTTGTCGTGCTTTGATTGATGGTCGCCCATTCTCAGGTACTTGCTGCACATCTCCGTTCATCCTTTTTTCCATGCCGCGAAGAAGTGCGTGGCACGTGAAAATGAGATAATTCGGAACTTCACCAGCAGCGAGTGCAGAAAGCTCTGTGCTTGTAGAAGGGTGCATTGACTTATATATGCAAGTGGAAATCATCCACAGACAGCTTCACCGCTGCTGAGACGTTCCGTCTCATATCTGGAAGCCGGTTGTAGGAAAGCCGTCACATGCCGGGTTGCGTGATGCATCTTCTAAGGTGTCTGACTGCTGGGCCAACACATCACTCTGGCAGCGAGGTGCTACGTGTGAGAGTGGGAGCCTTTAGAGTAAAGTCTGGCAGCCAATGAGGCGCAAACCCCCATGGAAGTCTCTCTGGTGGCCTAAATCAAGTGCAACCATGTAACGCTCCTGACAGCCCCCGCTCGGCGGGATGCCGCGACCGCTGAAACGGGCAGCCACGGCAACACGGCGAGAAGGGCAACCACCTCGTCTGACGAGGCGGTTGCGTTTGGCCACGTAATGCGGGTGGTTTTCACCACGGAAGTGATCACATTCACAAAGGAGAACCAAATTTGACCAAATTTGACAAGTTCATTTCATTTATTGAGGGTTGTGACTTTACTATCATCTAGTCGCAAAAGCACTTTAAAACTAGTCGGTGAAATATCAGCTCAGCACCAGGGGCATGGGTCACCATGCACGCAAGAGGCTTGCGTCACCAGGACATGCTGTCCCACAAAGTGTGCGCCGGTTCGGCGCTCTTGTTTCATGACACGAGGAAGGGATCAAACACTGAACTACCAAACAAACACAAAGCCGCGTGGTTCCTTGTTGCATCATATCCGTCTTGATGCAACCATGTATGAAAACGGTTTCAAGTTTCTAACCTGCCTGCAGTGGTTGTGCCCAATCACAAGTCTAAGGACGTTTTGAAAAAAATTGAGCTCGAGTGCCTTCAAAATCGGTTCAACTTTATCTTGTTTGCTATTAGTAACCAGGGCATCGCTATTAGTAGCAGGTGCATTGCTATTAGTGTACTAGCAAAAAGCATCCTGTAGAGTCTGTCGAGTTCTGTCTCACCTTCCTCGTTGGCCTCCCTTCGCAGCGGCACAGCCCCTGGATTCTGAAGGTCCCATGCAAGCCCAGGTGGGTCACGTGACGGTCACGTGGGTGCAAAATGCTTCGCCGTTGGCCGCAATCGACTTTTTCTGAGGCTCTTGGGACTGTAAACCCAAAAGACACATGGCTCAAATCCATCAATCAAACCCGATCCTACGATCCCAGAGCTTTCCTTTGACTTTGAGATGCCTGAAGACTCGGAACAGCGTAAGGACATTGTGACTGTGAGGGCTCAGGCTTTTCCTTTTCTACATAAGGGGTCCGAAGTGTCAAAGGCCTGATGATCGTGACCTCTCTTCCCCGTTACTTGGAAGAGTCTAGGTGTTGTGCAGCCGCCCCACAAGTACTCTCTTTCTCGGTCCCTCTCTGTCTCCACTTCCTCTCCTGTTTCACCTCAATCCCAGTGCATGCGACTCCACCAAAAGGGCTTCACGGCCAGCTCTATTGTTCAGCCGGGGCAAGTATCTCATGTACGAATACAATTCTGATTCCGTCAACAAATGCCTGATTTCCTCTCATGCAAAAGCACCTGATTAAGAACATCTATGCTTGGCTTAGGCTTGGTTTTCCCAGGTGCGCGGACAAACATTGAAGCAGTCAGAATCATGTGTTGAAATGTGTTGAACTCTCAATATACTCAATCATCAATATACTCCATCTATCATTAACGTATGCGCGGCCATAAACGTAGCCTTCCCGTTCACATCACACTTCTAGGCAGTTTTCTACCACGTTTTTCTCCTCAGGGTTGGAGGAAAGATGAGGAAAGCAGGGTCCCTGGAGGCCACGTTTGCATGAAGGATGACAATTTTCTGCCGGTCACCTTCCGAACATCCACTTCCACCATGCTGCGTCCACCGAACCCAAGCGAATTCGGGTTTGTGGGTCGACAGTCCCGTTTCGTGTCCAGCTTCTGACCACTTTCAGTGTCCATGACTATGATTCCAATTACCTATGGTTCCTTGCATGATCCAATGATTCCAAGCACCATCAAATTCTGAACATCAACTTCCTGCACAGCACAGCCCTGCGCTTCAGCCACTGCCCCCAAGCTGAACTTCTGAAAAACAACGCACAATAGAGTCATAGCTTAGCTGTCCGACCAAAAGCCGTCGTGACCTCTTCCTGATCGTTTTGATCTCTACTTCTTTGCATTGTCCCTTTCCATGCCGGCAAGCTCCTGTGTCTACCTTGGGCCTTGTCTTGAAGCATCGATCAAGATCACGACAGCTCTCTCGAATTTCGTTATATCTCACGACTTCGTTCACTTCTTCTTCACGGGCTTTAGCACTTTGAAGCTGCACATGAGCGTGTCGTCGATCGACATCATAGCGCCAGCATTGTCAAATTCTCCGCCTTATGAAGAACATGAGCAACACCAACACGGAGGACCGAAGCAAAGTTATATACACTTGGCTCAGCATTCTGAACTCAACAGAAAACAACCACCGCACAGTTAGTGCAGGCTCTCCTCCTACAAATCCTAAAACAAGCCTTGACAAAAAAAAAACACATGTCCTCAAATCAGTGCGTTTGCTGACCAAAAATCCCTTGGTCAATTCTTTTCATGTGCGAAACTGTTCCCGTAAATTGATTAAAGCATATGGACTCTTGTGTCCTCTTCGCATGCACCCGTTCATTGTTCTTGTTGGCTGTTTAGCATAGATTTCGATGCTCTGCTCCTTTCGATGCTCTGCTCTTGGCATGTTTCTTGAAAATGCCGGGAATTCTTCCGAAAGCACCCGAGCGTTCAAACGAAGCCAAGTTTTCAACTGCTTGTTTTGGGCATTGGAAGATGCGAACCGGGTCGTTCAGGGTTCGCGCAACATGGCTATACAAGAACCCGTCCGGGAGGGTTCTAGTTCAAACCGCTGAGACTGGCAAGGTGGATACAAGGGTTGGACGGTTCGAGTCAATAGTCCAGGTTTCCGGCGTTCCCCCCTTTCAGATCCAAGGAATCAAGCTACGTTCAACAGGTGCAAGATGGAGCCGAACAGAATGCGAACAAACAGCACTTCACAAAGAATTGCCGTTTCGCAAAAGCTCGGATTGAACAAATGTGTCGAACACCTGACAGGTGTTCATGCAAGGTTCTCATATGAGGACAAGGTCTGTGAAAGCAAACGCACGAAAAAGCAGTTCCATATTATACAGGTTCCACGAATGGCTCTCATGTTGCAAGAATTGCCCACGACAATCCAAAGATATCGAAAGCAGAACGGTTGAATGGTCGTGACACTGCGGAATGGAACAATGAAATAAACATTCTCCTGCATCAGGTAACTGATTTATATATATATATATTACTATAATTTATTATACATTATAAATCGAGTATGTACCGGCAAGTCAGGTGTTCATGCTGAAAGCCCTGCATAGAGAAACATGATTCAACAGATTCCTGGGTCCCCATGTTCCGGTTTTTGGAGCTGTGGACGAACGATGCACGGCAAAAAGAAATGGGCCAAAAGGGTCAAAACATTCCCCCAGTGGTCTGAGACTCCAGGTTCC